TGCTAACATCCAGTGACAACACCATGTTAGTAATGAAGAGGTTCGGCATCGTGTGTTCGGGCACAGAGACGATAATTCCATTGGTGTCACTATCTTGAAACACCGACTTCGGTGGCTTGGGCATGTTCTACGAATGTCGTCCCAGAGAATTCCATGTCATGCATTATTTGCTGACCCTGGGACTGGTTGGATAAAGCGGAGAGGTGGTCAGTGTATGACATGGTGTCTTGGTATGAAAGAAAGCTGCAAAGGGCTGGCTTCTGTTGGTCCTTCACAACTGCCTGGTTGGGGTCCGAGAGATGGTGTAACACAGTGGCTAGAAACATTATCAGATATTGCTCAGAATAGAAGCCAGTGGCGATCCTGCTGTAACCTTCTTTTAATTTATTCGTAAAAAGTGGTTGCTTCTTCCTTAACTGAAAGATTTCTTCTGATTGTACCTTTTCGTTTCCCTCATTATTACTACTATTACACTACCTTACACTAATCTGTTCGTTATTGTTTTTTTACGCTCCTTACCCTCCTTTCTTTTTTTCCTCTTCTCTTTAAATTCTCATTGTTTTGTGTGGCGCATATATATTTGGTGCCTTGTACTAATATTTGTGTTCAAATAAATAAATAATATTTTCCTCATCTATAAATAATAAGGAATTAAAACGCACTTTACCCACTATTTGAAACCTGGAAGCACCAAACGGATTTTCGGTCATAGTATGGGACTTCAGGTGGGAGTTTGTGCTGATAATGTCCTTCAGAATCACGATGAACGCTCCACGACCAAACCATCCGGCTCAGAGAACGAATCTCTATCGAAACCATCCACCTGATCTACTAATCTCCACCATCTCAAAATGGTATAGGACTTCTCGACAGTGCGCTGAATTTGAAGCTGTGACAAATTTTAGACAATTTAAAGCATTACACTTATATTGATCTTCTTTATTTCATCCTCAGCCATGAACAATGTAAAGCCCTGGTTAAATATGTACTGACTTAAAATCCCATACTTCACATCAGCACAGTTATATACTTACTTACTTACTTACGCCTGTTACTCCCAATGGAGCATAGGCCGCCGACCAGCATTCTCCAACCCACTCTGTTCTGGGCCTTCTTTTCAAGTTCCATCCAATTCTTGTTCATTTTTCTCATATCTATCTCCATTTCTCGGCGTAATGTATTCTTTGGTCTTCCTCTCTTCCTTCGACCTTGAGGGTTCCATATGAGGGCTTGTCTTGTGACGCAGTTCGGTGCTTTCCTCAATGTGTGTCCTATCCACTTCCAGCGCTTCTTCCTGATTTCTTCCTCCACTGGGATCTGATTTGTTCTCTCCCACAGTAGGTTGTTGCTAATAGTGTCCGGCCAACGGATCCGAAGTATTTTGCGTAGACAACTGTTAATAAACACCTGTATCTTTTGGACGATGGGTTTCGTAGTTCTCCAGGTTTCCGCCCCATACAGTAGAACTGTCTTGACATTTGTATTGAAAATTCTGACTTTGGTGTTGGTTGTCAATCGTTTTGAGTTCCAGATGTTCTTCACTTGTAACTATGCTGCTCTTGCTTTGCCAATCCGTGCCTTCACATCTGCATCAGATCCACCGTGTTCATCGATGATACTGCCCAAATATGTAAAGGTTTTTACATCTTCCAAAGCTTCTCCGTCAATTGTGATTGGATTGGTACATGTTGTGTTGTATCGAAGAATCTTGCTTTTCCCTTTGTGTATATTGAGACCTATTGCTGTTGAGGCTGCAGCTACACTGGTTGTCTTCTCCTGCATTTGTTGTTGTGTATGCGATAGAAGAGCCAGATCATCTGCAAAGTCTAGATCATCCAACTGCATCCTAGCTATCCACTGTATCCCGTGCTTCCCTTCAGATGTTGATGTATTCATGATCCAGTCGATCACCAGGAGAAAGAGAAAGGGTGAGAGTAAGCAACCTTGCCTAACACCGGTCGTTACTTCGAACGACTTTGTCAACTGTCCTCCATGAACGATCTTGCAGTTTAATCCATCATAGAAATTTCGTATGATATTGACTATCTTCTGAGGCACGCCGTAGTGTCGAAGAAGCTTCCATAGGGTTGTTCTGTCCACGCTATCAAATGCTTTTTCGTAGTCGATGAAGTTGATATAGAGTGATGAATTCCATTCAATTGATTGTTCCACAATGATCCGTAGAGTTGCGATTTGGTCTGTGCACGATCTATCCTTACGGAATCCTGCCTGTTGGTCTCGAAGTTGGGCGTCTACGGAGTCCTTCATCCTGTTTAACAATACCCTGTTGAAGACTTTTCCTGGTATTGAAAGAAGAGTGATTCCCCTGTAGTTGTCACAGTTGCTGAGATCGCCTTTCTTTGGTATTTTGACTAGAAGTCCTTCTTTCCAATCTTTAGGTACCTGTTCCTCATCCCAGATCTTTCTGAAGAGAGTTTGGAGTATCCTTGCAGTTGCCGCTACGTCTGCTTTCAGTGCCTCTGCTGGAATGCTGTCTAGTCCTGCTGCTTTGCCACTCTTGATTTGTCTGATAGCCATGCTGATTTCTTCAATTGTCGGTGCGCCAACATCAATTGGGAGGTCCGTGAGTGCTGCTTCGATGTTGGGTGGGTTCAGTGGGGCTGGTCGATTCAAGAGTTCTTTGAAGTGTTCTACCCACCTGTTTCGTTGTTCTTCAATGTTGGTGATTATCTTGCCTTCCTTGCTTTTCACTGGTCGTTCTGGTTTACGGTGATTTCCGGAGAGTTTCTTTGTTGTTTCATACAGTTGTCTCATGTTTCCTTCTCTGGCAGCCTTTTCCGCCGTCATTGCCAAATCTTCCACATATTTACGTTTGTCGGTTCTGATGCTCCTTTTCACTTGCTTGTTTACTTCTGTGTATTCAGCTTGTGCCTTGACTTTTTCTGCTCTTGTTCGACTGGTATTGATTGCTACTTTCTTGTTCCTCCTTTCCTGAATCTTATCCAGTGTATCGACCGTGATCCAATCCTTGTGATGGTGCTTCTTTTGGCCCAGAACCTCATGACATGTTGAAGTGATTGCCTCTTTTATCTCTTTCCAGTTGCTCTCCATAGTAGTTTCTTCTCCATTGAGTAGATCATGAAAGGCTTGGAAGTTATTGCTGAGGGTTATCTTGAATTTATTGAGTTTGTCATTATCTCGAAGAAGAGCCGTATTAAATTTTTGTGATATTGTCCTCCCCGTTGTCCAGTGTCTCTTGAGTTTCAATTTCATCTTGGCGACCAGCAAGTGATGATCTGATGCTATATCAGCTCCTCTCTTTGTTCTCACGTCCTCCATCGTCCTCCTGAAATTTTTGTTGATGCAGATATGGTCGATTTGGTTCTGTGTGCTGTGATCCGGTGAAGTCCATGTGGTTTTGTGTATGCGTTTATGTGGGAATATAGTCCCGCCTATGACCAGTTTATTGAAGGCACATAGATTTGCAAATCTCTCACCATTTTCGTTCCTTTCTCCCAGTCCGTGTCGTCCCATGATCTCTTCATATCCGGTGTTGTCAATTCCAACCTTGGCATTTAGGTCTCCCATCAGAATAGTCAGGTCTTTTGTTGGGCACTTCTCGACGGTTGACTGCAGCCTATCGTAGAATTGATCTTTAGCGTCTTCGTTGTAGTCATTGGTTGGCGCGTAGCATTGGATGACGTTCATTGTAATCCCCGTTTTCTTTGTTTTGAAGGAGGCTTTGATGATCCTTGGTCCATGAGATTCCCATCCTATAAGTGCATTTTGTGCTTGTTTGGACAGCATCAATGCAACTCCTTGTGTATGTGGGGCATTTTCTTGTTCATGTCCGGAGTATAACAGCAGCTCCCCTGAAGCTAGTCGTTGTTGTCCAATCTGCATCTAATGTGTTTCACTGATCCCAAGCACCTCTAAATTGTATCTCCTCATTTCTGCAGCAATTTGGAAAACTCTCCCAGTCTCCCACATTGTGCGAGCATTCCATGTACCTAAGTAAATGGCTGCTCTGGTTGTCAGAAGGGGCATCGGCCTCGTGACTTCCGAAGAAACTCGGCTTTCATCATGAGGCGTCATAATTCTTCTAAACGAAGACCTCCTGGCTCCCAGGGCAGAGTTTAAATGGTTTGAATAATTTTTTCTGGTTAGCGTTTTTTTAGCGAGTTAGTTTTCTACGGGATGGGGTCGCTAACCCCATGCCCAACCCTCCTCCTTTATCCGGTCTTGAGACCGGCAGTAGCCCCCGGAAAGGGACTCCAGGCGGAGTTAGCACAGTTATATAATAGTTAAGTATTGTTAGTTAAACTGATCAGACTATCGTATTTAGGTTTTACTTGCGAATCTTACGGCATTCTTTGATTATTCCACTTCATCGAATGGATTGGAATACTTGTTAAAATTAGATGGAGAAAATAAGGGTTAAGTACAGTTATCGATTAGTTCAAGTTGCCAAATATAACACCGGATTGTAAGGAAAGAGCAAACAAGTTAAGCTGAATTGTTTAGTTTCTTAAGTTTCTTAAACTGTTAATCTAGTTTTTAAAAAACATGATACTTGGAAAAAGCAGTCAAATCTCAAAGCTAGAATTTATTGATCGTATTCCCTTCATCTATGTGATTTTTAAACAAACATATATACTCGTGTGAACTGCTGACACCTACACCAGTCACTTTCTCATACATTTCAAATTGCAATAGGCCCGTATTCTGGTTAGCTGGACATTGGTTTGTAATTCGTTATATTACAGACTCGATCATAATCCAATTACCTTGATCTGACCATTGGGGTGACGTGTATGCTTATCCCTCTTATCTTAATTTGTCCTATCATGTAATAAAACTACTTATTTCCGACTACTACTAAGTTACATTTTCCTTTCAGTTCAATAAAGAACTTGATTTACTCTAACCCAGTATTTTTGCTATATTTTTTTCGACTTTCACAATTCTGATATATCCTTTATTATTATTATTATTATTATTATTATTATTATTATTATTATTATTATTATTATTTACAGGACATAACTGAACCAACTGAAAGTTGCATCGATCAGAACAAAGCATTATCGAGTCAGCAGTCTGATCGAGACACTTTATGCAATGATTACAATGAGGCAATTGTGAACAGTGTAAATAATATTATTTTAAGTGATAATCAGAATGTCTACCCGGGTTATACAACAACAACATGCAAAACTAATACCTCTAGTCATCAGAATACTGAAAGTAAGTCTTCATTGTTGGTCTTTGAATTTTTGCAAGCACATGTTTTTGTGTACACAACATTTTAGAGAAATTTATTTGTTATAAAATTCATGTTTAATTATTGATCTACTGTAATAATAGTGGTAGTAACAATCCTGCACTCAGTATTTCAAGATAATCGATGGGAGATCCAGTTAAAATTTATCAACCAAAGGTATACTTGTTAGTTCCATTTCTTTACCATAGTTTTGGCGTTATTATTAGTGGTAATAGTAGTCGTAGCAGTAAAACAAATATTATGGGTTCGAATCCCAAAAGTTAAGGTGGTGGTTGGAGGTAGTCGATAGGAAACCCAGAAGTTATATAAGCATTTGTGCTTGGTAATTTATTTCACAACTATAGCTTTAGCTTATTCTTTTAAAAGAAATCAGGAAAGATGTTTTTTTGAAATCTTATTGTTGCTTACTGGACGAAAACTAGGGACAGTCGGACGAAAATGTGGCCTCAATCTATGAAGTGATTTACTGTTGGACTGATACATGTTGATAGGTGTAGACTACCTGTTTTGGGTCCTCATGGTTATCGTAACCAAAGGTTGAGTACTTTGGCTGATATAATTTTTGATCAATCCTAATAGCATTGATGCATCAGCTCTTACCTTGAGTCCTGAAATTTTATACTTGTTTGTGCTCTCGGTACCTAATCTTTTCTGCTGCCACTACTCCTGATACAGTTACCACTTCTACTACTCTGAGCTTTGGATTAGTAGTTTGATCTCTCTGTGTCAACCTATTATGGTCATTTAAACATGTGCACATATATGCAGATTCTACGTTTCATATGACTGACTGACTGATAGGTGTTTACAGAACTCTAATTTAAAATTAAATTGATGTAACAATGGCGAAAATGTTCTTTTTGTGATATATTCTTTGTTGTCGACATATTGTCGGGTATATTATTATTGCTAAAAAATAATAACTGAATTAACTCAAAATACATTACAGAAACGGTTATAGTTGTCGAAAATAATTGGAGTATAATGGCATGTGTAAACATGACTTCCAGGTCATCAAAGTAGTGTGGATTCTCATTATATTGACCGGTTATTTTTTACTATGATTCAACTACTAGTCAATCATCGGTGCTACTCGGACTAATTTACTAAATTGTCACATAACATGAAATCTCTGTTAGGTTCGGGGTGAAAATAAGAGCAAAAAATGTTTATTTCAGAAACATGTCATGTAGTGGGTTCAAATCCCATCCCCGTCGCCAGTGTTAGTTTCCCTACTTGACTAACTCAGAATACGATTTACGACTACGAGACTCGAACGTTGAACTTCACCGTCGCAAATCAGAAGACAAGAAAAGCTAGAGAAGCGTTTATTTGGTAAGAATCGAAATGTACAGAAAATCACGGGTATTTATAGATATTAGCATTTGATAAATCAACATTATATTTCGGCCAATCCTCAAAGAGACATATTATGCTACTGACCAAAAGTAGCATGCTACGTTGATATTCTAGAAAGCCCCATCATGATCTGATTGGCTGGAAACTCTTCGGCCACTTTACTGCCTCTGGAGGCTCCGTTGTAGTTCTCGGAAGCCGACTGAACACTTTTGTTGTGCAGTTAAAGCTAAGGAAATATCGTTGTTACATATTTAAAAATGATGTTAGACATATTTTTCAAAAAACGTGTGTGTAATGTGAAAACTAGAAAGCAAACTAATAGTTTATATAAAAATTCCTGAAGTCTTCAAATAGGTGATAAGGAATATTCATGCTTTCATAATCATAGTAATGGTGATAGCAAAGATCCCACCTTTATAAATCACTAATAAATCAAGTTACATGGAAATTCATAAGCGCACTACGTTTGTATTCTGTTTCATTGATTATATCAAAGGATCACATTAATTAATTTATCAATTATCATAAATTCAATAGACTAAATGAAAAGAATCTATATTAGTCAACGTTGACTCAATGAGTATATATTGTTTCAGTTTGCATGAGATTTGAACATCTTGAGCGACTCATTAATGATTAGTTTCAAACCAATATAAGACAGTTGGATGCTGTTTTCTTACATTAGGTGAAATTTGTTCTGTAGATTATTCAACATTCACACTGATTCTGAAGGTCATCAATGTCCGCGTAGTAACTTCCAAAATGCTCTTTTTATTTAAAACAATGAGTTTCTTCATTCTCTTGTGCTATAAGAGTGTTACAGTGTGATTTGGGTCTTCTATATAGTCTTTGTACAAAACTCATGCGATGTCAATTTGCATAGATTAGTGGTTGCATTGTAACTTCATAGAATTTAATCAGTACTAAAGGAGTAGAAGAAAGTAACATCGATTTGTACTCAGTGCTTAATTATTTGTTTCTTTTTATTTTTTTTATAAAAAAAACGTCGAATACAATTTTGTTTATTCTGTAAACAATTATTTTAATATATCTTAATTTACTCTGATTATTCACTGGATAGCAATCAAAGACATGTCTGTCTAGCCGTCAGTGTTTGCCGAATTTCATAGACGGTTTTCAACTCGAAACCAAGCCTAAGTGACTAAATGTCACGCCTACTATACTTTGATGCACTAAGGATTAGATGAGCATAACATTTGTGATCATTCAATGTAAAAATCTCAGCCCCATGAAAGTTCAATCGCATCTGGAATCCCTCACTGGTAGCGTCTGAAACATTTATACTACGTGATGAATGGCTGAATTTTACGGGAAGCGTTAATCCTAACAAGATTACAAATATAGTTGCCTAATAAGTATTAACTAACACGATAACTTCCCACGTATTGTTAGAAATTCATCTGGACTTAGAACTGCTTACTGAGGAACTAGACCTGAAGGAAACGTTAATACATTGTAGACAAGAAATGTGTTTCAAATGAGGTTCATCAATTTGGAATCTAACACATTGTTCATATACAATGTCAACAATCTTTAACAAATATGTAGGTCGTCATATCAATGTTTGTATATAATTAAATAATATGAACAATAATTTGATCAATTACTTACCGGGTAATTTTTAGCGACACAGGTTCGGACCCCACTCCATTTACTTCTTCAGTTTAGGGACCCAGTTAATATTAGTAGTGACTTTTACACAATGAATTGTGACTGAAAGTTAAGTACATAAGCTCGTATATATGGTTGGCTACTTTGCATGATATGGCTCAGAATCGTTCGCAGTTACACAAATGCATTCACTCTTTACCATCCTATTAATCTCGAAGTCCAATATACTTTCATATACACTTTTCCAACTTGTTTTGAAAAGTCATCTTTCCATAGTTTAGTTTTGCTTTTTATCATTCGTGCTACATTACTTCTATCTCTTTTGTTATTTTCATCTCATTGTCCTATCGGACCTGAGTCAAGAATATCTGTGCCAGACTCTTTATTGATGTTTTCTGTTTGTCTTTATTATTTTACTATTCTCTGTTATAAAACGATTGTACAGACCTTGAAGAAATACAATATTTTCCAAAAATTCAACTTGTTGTTGTTAACAATCTCTATTTTTAATTCTACATAGATGTAAATGGTTTATAGACTTTTATCTAGACTAGTTTGAACTGTACTAAATTATGCAATTCATTGTTTTATGGTGTAAACTTATTAATAAATGTTGAATATTTTGTTGTTGTTTATAAGTAATTGTAATGTGTAGATATGATTGTGATAATTCTCTTACTTGGTATATAAATTGTATTCAACAAATGGTACACTTTGTTTATTTTCAATATTTATTTCATGACACGAAATATCTTATATGTGATACATACAATATATACCATGCCTATGATATTATTCAATGTTATCATCTTCATTTTTATTGCATAACATATTCGTGTTTTGGTTTGATAATAATTACTATTTAATTGCATATCATATGATTTGTATGATAAATAATTCATTATACTTGTTTTGATTAAAATTACGCCATTCATTTCATAGTTGTTGATAATCAATCTATTTTACAATCAAATGGTCAGTGTTCATCATGAACTAACATAAACTGGAAATCCATTAAAAGAATTTTCTGCTCGCTTGAGTTTTGTGTTTCACTTAATCTTGAGTGCTTTAACTGTGATCATGGTAGATTTAAGAAAGATGATAAAGATTTGTAGCTCAAGAGAATGATTTTGTTGAAATCACGTTCTCTGTGCTGTGTAGTGTTATCGTGGAACTTTCAGTGTCCTTCTAGACAATATCATCAGCACAAATGTTAAAGTGAAGTGTGCTTTGAGAATTTCTCCATAAGTAACTAACGGCTTATCCTTTTGATCTTCAATTTTCACTGGTTGTTGTTGGCCTTTATTCTGTCATAGTTCACTTCAATCGAAAGTTTATCTTGATGGTATTGTGTAGAAAGACAATGGAAGGCTCACATATATATCACTCTGTGCAAAGAAATCAGTTTTAAAAAAGTATAGACCTTAGTCGCTAAATCGGCATCTCAATTTAATTTCAGAAAATTATGGTATGTATTTTATAAATTGGTTTTGTCATTATATAATACTGAAGTGAAATTCATAGCCAATTTATTGTCTTGAAAAGCGTTTGTTAATCTGCTCACTCACTCTGATAATCTGAAATCATGATAATATATATCGTTCTATTCACTTTATTCAGACAAATCTAATTTCATAGTGTTTTAGTTGAATAGTAGCTTAGCGTCTAAAGAACTCGTCTTTCAACTAGTTGGTCATAGAGGTTCAATCCTGACTCTACTTACTCCGGTTTGGCTAGAACTGAATGGTGTCGTGGTCGGTTTTCCAATAATTCAATTATGGCTTAAAACTTAGTACTTAAACTAGGTTATTAGATAAATGAGTTTACATGAAAACTAAAATCAATTAATTTTATTGTATAAGTTGCAGGAAAGCAATTATTCATCCTTATCATATCATAGTATATATCATTTAGTAATAGCAATAACAGATTACATTTCACAGTTCTAAGTGTTTGGTAAATCTTTTAATTGAACTCCTGAATGGGTTTCCTAAGCTCTTTGTACAACCCTAGGCTAAATCTACAAGACAACTTGAACACGAGAGAAAAGGCGCGAAATATGAAAAGAACGCTTTACTTCAAGGTTAGTTTATGTACCGAAGTTCAGATGGCCTTGGGCTTCTGGAACCCTAATGAACATAGTAGTAGGATAGGTAATCATCCAATCAGAAATGTGACTAGTGACTCTCCACTTTCTAGATGTTTATGAGACACCGCTATTCAATGCTGATTGTATAAGATGTTTCCCAGAGTTTTCAGGACCCCTCTGGGCATTTTTCGAGGAATATTTTGGGTCACTCCAACGGTATTATATACATATGATTTAGAATGTGTTAGTTATTCTTTTTAAGTCTTGATTATTACATTTTCCATTTTCTTGTTCACCTATTTTTAATTTTAATAATTTATTGGCTTTAGCATTTTCATTATTTATTGGTTCTCATGTTCCATTTTGTATTACAAATAGTTTCACGTCTTAAATCATCAATGGAACAAAATGTATCCGCAATAAATGGTTGTTCAATGAATGGTAATACAGACCATGGTATAAATTGTGATTCACCGTAAGTGTTTTTTATTTCAGGAAGTTATTGTGTTTAAGATTATGATGAATATTAATACGAAAATGTTAATCGATACTATTATCCAATGTTTTTTCTTTACTCTATTTATTTCATTAATATTTTGGAGGCTATATGGGCATTTTTTTGAAGTCAACGTTTTCCAATTGCGTTCATTGGGGTGTTTGTGTGAACACAATCGGTTTAGGTGTTTGGTTTCCATTTTCCAAATTTCATAGGAACAATCGTATCTCATAATTACAGTAAATAAAACTCTCATATAAAAGTAGGCTGTGGTTGTGCTGTTGTATGAGAATACATTAAGAAGGGACATGAACTCTCCTTGGCATTTGTTGTAGCATAACATTCAACAGTTTAGCTAAATTAAGAAATGCATAGTTTGGTGCATTTCAAAACCATCTAAAAAGAATGTGTAGAGAAAAAGAAAGAATATACAGAGGAATGAGAGTTGAAAAGAAACATTAACTCAAAATAAAACATAAATTTCTATGTTAGGGTTAAAAGTAAATATCTATCTACCCTTTGGTTAGGTTTTTCGACCACACCATCAATTACAATAAGTATAAGTAAATTAAGCGGTTGGTTGATTGAAGCGGTTTCGCTTCACCCAAATCTTTATCATATACCTTGCCTAACACAAATTATTTATTCTACCTAATCGATATAATAAGTATAAGAAGTATCGACTCAAAATTCACAGCATAGCAGTTTTGAGAACATTGTTACATCGGTTAGTTCGGTGCGTATCAGTGCTTATATTAAGTAGTTAGCTACTTTGTTAAGCTAATTCCCTATTAGGTAGTAAAAGATTTAGAGGAAGGTCATATTGACGGAAATTACCTTTTTCCATACAATACATCCAGCCACTTCACAGATATTTGTAGTCAATCCATATCTGTAATGTAATTAAATTAATTCATTACTGTTTAAAAATGTTCTATTATTACTACTACTTTTTCTAAAGTGAGAAATTCAATTTTCCTTGTTACAACAATTGATTATTTTACATACAATTTAATAGAATAGGTCATTTGAGCCAGGATAGTTGTAGAACCTAAAAGGCGGAGAAATCGATAGATAGATAGTGTGATATAGAGAGTTATTCAACATAAAACGTTGTTAATGCTGTGAAAACCTTTCTCTGTTTTATTCTCCTTATTCTTCATTCAAATTATTTGATTAATCTTATTATCGTTATAGTAGATTTCTAGTTTAGAAACTTAGGTGAGGAAGAAAAAATGAGGATGACTGACATGTAGGGTGGTGATATATATATATATATATATATATATATATATATATATATATATATATATATATATATATATATATATATATATATTAGTGAAGTTTTTATTTTCATTTATCTTAAGGTAATGTAATTAATTAAACAGAATGTGAGTTACTTAAGTATTTGTATAGTCTCTGTAAAAATTGGCTATTCTGATTGGTATCTTAATGAGAAAATAAAGAAAATATTTATGCGTATCGATAAATCTACGCCTTTGCTTTAATCTTGATTCATTTTAATTAGTTTACAATGTCACAGGCAGCTGATATGTGTATTCAAGTTATCACCTAATGTGATTCTATATATTTTTCCAAAATTATAATTCAATAAATTCTACACAAACTGTCTAACTGTTTTTTAACTAATATGTAATGGTTTCAACTATTAGACCTGTATTATTGTTGTCATTATTAAATGTTTTCTTTAATATAGATGTAGCGATCAAATGTTCCATACATATATGTATAGTTCCAATTTTAGTTTGAATAATCAGTATGTGATATAAGAATATGGCTTAGTGGCTACATATTTAGGGTCATCATCTAAGCTGCTATTTCTATCTGTCTTACGTAAGGCAGTTGTGCATTATCTGATTACTTAAATAGTGATCAACTTAGAATACGCAGATGACATAGTCCTGTTTGGTGAAGAGGCTGATAAAATATAGAGTCTTTTGGTAGCACTGAGCAACAATGCCAGAAGGTTTGTGATGCGTTTCTCGTCTTCTAAATGCGAGTCGTTGCTTCAAAACTGGCTTGCGTCAACACTTTAACTAAGGATAGGGAGTGAAGTAGTCGAACGCGTCTCAGAATCGATCACAGTGGTGTAAGTGTAGCACTCTTTGTCCTCCCTGAAACCGTGAGATTAAAATTGCTTTCTACCAACTAGTTCTTTTTTCCTGGATTATATCCTTATACACAATCTTTGCTTTATATAATACTACCATTGGAATAACTACTTCTGTGAATTTGGTGTTGATCATGTTGTGCTAATGAGCTGTGGCAACTTGAACCGATGCATATATATGCCTGGTTCCTACGTTGTAGCTGACTAACTGATTACTTAATTCATAATATTCATTGTGAATAAATTAGTAACATACTTGTGTTATTTGTATTCCGCAGTATAAGTTCTTGTAAATTCGTTTATCCTTTCGTTTGTTCTGATTCTTTTCCAATATTTTGGAGTATTTCGTTTTGATTGAATAGATTTTATGGATTTTCGACTTGATTTGACCTTGTCGTTCATCCAGTTTCACTTTGCACATACATATTTCAAAGAGTAATTGACATTCAGATTCTGATTACTTGGTTTCAATTGTATTATATCCTGGGTGAAATCTGCAGGTTCTAAGTTCGTCTAAGTGGATCATATATGCCAAACTGTTGACGAGTCTTCAAATTAGAACGAATTACTTGTTCATTTATTTATGGTTTTTAATGATTCTACAATTTATATAAGTTTACTATAACAATTTCTTGATTAGACTATGTCAATCAAGTCATATTTATGTTTAGTCTAGAAATATGCTTGATTTCAATTGATTTTTAGCTTTACTTTTGCTGTGACTTTGTTGTTAATCATTTTAACTCTATGTACCATTGCTATCGTTTTAACCGTGTCAAATACCCACTTGATAATAATTAATGAATATGTGAATTTGAACATATAGAATTGATATATTATGCAATATGTAGTACGAGGATCGACAAAATTTAAATTACAAGTTGAATATTGATGGTGGTTACACAAGAATGTCAGTAAAAATTGTGTAAGAAGGAAGAATACAATAAGAAATTTTAAGAATGTCGATAAACAAGAATTCACTCGTAACTGCTGAGATAGGGAACGGGACTCTACAAATATCTTATGAATGCCTAAGTTTGGTCTGTTGATGTGAATAGTGATGACTTCCGTTGTACACAAAAGACGTATCTATGTAACCCCCGATGACAGAATGGATAGTGTGATTGATCACTCGAAATTCTTTTTTTATACCCACTTGGTCTCCCGTATCTGTTAAGTGATCAAGTATAAAGGTCTAAATCGGCCTTAATTATTCCATTTTCTTACATAATTATCATTAGCATTTCACTTGCCGATTTTCACATTAGATATTATTACGTAATATGGTAATTCTATAACTATGTTGTGAAATTGATTTATTTATTTTCATTTTGACAACTTGAACCAATGTATTTCTGGTGTTAGGATTTACGTTCATATTGACTGACTGATGGGTGATTATATTTATCGTTCAATAAACATTAGTGTTTAAGTGAAACTAAAAGAAGTTGTACGCCTAGAATTTATATGGTAAAATGGCCAAATATAGATTCGTACGTTAGGATATTATTTTTGATCTTGGAGACTAGTGACACTACCTAACAATTGGCTGAATATTTAGCCATAGATATAATGAATCTGATCTTACACGTGAATGACATATACTTGTACTTATATTAAATATATCTTAAATTCATAGCAAATGTACTTTTAAATCGTACTGTGATTATTTACAAAATGTAGATCTTACTAATGTTTCATTCATAAAATTTATCTCTTTTTTTCTTCAATGAATACTAATTAGACATATAATTATATATTCAACCATATTGAATTTAATTTTTATTAATTCAAATCTCCTTTTGAAGTTTTTATTTTCAATGCTTTAGTTTCTCATATATTTATCTATTTGTAAATTCATTTATTATATCACTGAGTAGATTTTTTCAAAAAAAGTTAAATTGACATTTTCACCAGGTACTCGAGTATGAGCATTTAGTCTAAGTATGTGGGTTAACGATACTACATAGTTACTCAATCTGATGTAGATAGAATAATGTTTGAACTGGGTGTTTAATGGTTGAAAGTTGAACGCCTTAACTATTAAGTCACTGTTTTATTGTAAAATATATAATTACTTATTTTTTGACAAATTACTATTTAACGAATGTTTTATTAGCGGTTTATTTTCATCATGTATTAATATTAACTGGAGAACTATAGGAAATTATAGAGAATTAGTTAGACTTTTCATCCTAGTTTTGGTCTTCTCTTCATTAGTCTAAACACCTACGACCTCGTACATGATCGATAATAATAAATCCACGTCTCTTGTAGCAAACACGTTACTTTTTCACAACTGGATGGAGATCCATTGGTTTACATTTGTAACTTCAGTCAATTCCATTGATGTTTGTCCTATATCATCGTTAATATTTGAAAGTCATCGGTCAACGCTCCACATTAAAACTTTTAGAATTTATCTTTAAACCAATCACTAGTTTACTTATAGAGAAAAAAGCATAGAATAAGTAAACAGAAACATGGTGAACAGTGGTCTATTGGTTAAGTATTCATCGCGGGATGTTAGAGTCCTAGGTTCGATAGACTCACACTGCCGAGGGGTTTCATACTTTGATGAAGCATCCTATCCGAAGCTTGCTGATTTTGTTGGAGTGATGCCTCAATTGTTGAGGCGTTTGACCTTCAACCACTAAGTTGTATGTTCGTAATCCTCTCCATCTACGTTGATTTGCTCAGCAGGATAGTATCACTATCCTGCATACTTAGAATGACTCACATCCGAGTAATAAGTTAATTAGTAAACATCGGCTGAATAGTATCACATTAACTGCGTTTCTTAACTTTGTGTGGCTTAGCATTTGACTATTTATAGATTAGACTATGAAAATTTAGCTGATCATTTGAATTGTGCTATTTCTTAGGATGAATTTAAACTAGTTTTTTTCTTCAAAAAATAGGTATTATTCATCTTCAGACGATAGTGTACGTAATCTTCGTGGTCTGCCTAATGGATCCAATGAACCTCATGTGAATCCAACTTCATCCTTGACGTTGAATGCTTCCAATTTTCCCAATAACAATGTTAAATTATTAGGTGGGAATTCAGATGAATCTTCTGTTATTACCAGATCTCTTTCACCAAATCAATGTGAGTTTATAATTGAAAGCGTATTTCCATAACCACTAAGTTACTAATATCATATTATCTAGTCATCGACTTACATTGGTCATAGTGCAATGTGGTCACTAGGGCATGTAACTCGATTTGCTGATGCACTATGATTAGATGTTGGTTGGCTAGATGTTCCGTTTTAGGAGCCACTTATCAACAAGGTGTTTCTTCAATTTCAAGTGAAGAAAGCTTCCCATTTTGGCATCATTTTCCCTATGATTTCAGGGAACACCGTTTTGATATATTCCAATCTACAAGAAATCTGATTTCAAAGCTACCCACAGACTCTCTACTACTATCATTTAAACATATACCGAACTTCATAGTGTGTGTGTGATTTACCCACATCTTTCATGTTTCAAGTACCGACCACCCTGCCTTTAACCAAGTCACGTCAGTTGTTGATAACCACATATAAATATTACATTTATTTAACCGTATTATTTTACATGTTAGCGTAATACTGCTTGACCCCCTCATTGTATTATAAATGTTTGTCTGCTTAATTTTGATTACGTTGTCTTGCATCCCATAACCTTACTGACATTTTAGTGACAATAACTCAGTTATTGTAACACTCATTTCGTTTCGATTAAAGCTCACATCATAAGCGATAATCATGCAGTTTATTATTTTTACATACATTGATTTTCCACTGAGTAGTGACCAATGTAATGTTTGTCTAATCCCTAGTGTAAGTCAATTTCTAACGTTCAAGTTGCAATATGGTTATCAGTATAAATGACTTGATAACTCAAGTAACCCTGGACTTAGGTTTCTTGTTATTTGACATTTATGAGCAAGGTGTAGTTGCTATATTGATGTAAATAATGCCCACCTTGACTGTGACCCATCTGAAGCATTCTTACCGAACTATTCGAAGCCTCTTGTAGGACTGGGATTTTTCAACAATGACTAACTATCTATATCATACTTGCTTTATTGACGAGTCCCAACTAACTCAAAATCTAGGTCCAAAGATTCCTGTATTACCTTCAACTACGTACATATTTATTTAGACAAGGATTGAACTAGTAGTATCAAGTTACTATGTTGATTATTGTAGCATGGTGTGTATTTTATATGTAATTTCGACAAAAAACTGAAACAATAAAGCTATTTGTATAATTAAGGAATGTCAAAATAAATGTATCATGTATCGAATAATAAGCAAGTGTGAAAGCATATAACAGAGTTTATTACCATTAAAGAACTTTTATAGCGTACATCTTAGTTGATTGCACAATTCATTGAATAAAAAAGTGTAAGATAATTTTACACTTCAGTATCTCAAAGAAGATGAAAAGTGAGTGCATCTGGGCCATTGTGACTAATGTCACCAATCCTCCCCAACCATCAGTTACGATAATTGCGACAATTCTCACCTGATAGTCAACACTAACCAACACAGCTCAGTCCAATATTCATTTTTTTAATGATTTGATGCTACACCTTGACTCAGCCACTATAGCTTTATTCCTATGTACTGCTACATTAAACAAACTTCGTGCCTCGAGGTAGACGATGGTTAGACGTACGTGACACATATCCTAACCACTCCAGTTGATGAAGATTTACAGCCTCATTAAAGCGGTATCCCACTTTTTATGCTCACTCTGGTGGTCTCAGTATACACGAACGATGCTTTAAGGGCATTGATGATCAAATATTAGTAATAGTAGTAGTCCATTATTCTTTACACACGTTGATCCTCGTGTTTAACTGATCAATAATGAAATATTCCAGAACCAAAATCATAAATAACCACATAGAATATGGCCAAAAGTATTCCCAGAACTCTTCTTCAGTTTAACCGTGTAGGTTTTCGCATTACACATAAATATAAATACCGGAAAGAAATAGTTTCTAATATTCTTTTTATGTTTAAGTATTCTCTTTGGTATTTATGTTGATGAGATCATTTGTTAATTGATTGTTATTGTTATAGGTTTAGCTCATATCTGACAATAATGATCAATAACTTCCTACGTCTAAAGTTTGTTCGGTTCAATGGCTAGTTGATTGACATGTCCTTCATGTTACTATTGAGTTTACTGTAGAGGATAGTTTACTTTTTACAATGCAACGAATAGCTATAATGGTTCGTTCTTGACTAGTTCGATCCATATCGGGTATGAGACAGCTATCCACCGCAGTTCATGGATAAAGAGTTGTGCGAAATCATGGATTAATTGAAATTAAACATTAACACCGTTGATTGCCTGCTCAGTTGTCTAGAGGTTTAGCGCTCGAGTGTGGAACGGAAAATGCTGGGTTCGATTCTCTTGTGCGAAGTCGTAGATGCACGTTGATTAGAAAACCTCATACTAGAAAGAAACAGTCTTCCAATTCTTTGAGGTTGTGAATGGTGGTCTAGCTAAGATCAGTTCTTTATCTCAACAGTGAAAACAATATCTCCAAAAATCCCCCATACTAAATTTTTGCACTCCAGGCACTTGGTTTGTACGTTGGCTGTGATACTGCCTGGGTGCCCATGTGCACCATTGGTTTGGAATCAGGGTTTTCCGTCTCCCCTAAATGGATCCTCCTTATCTATATACGTGTAAAAGGGTTAAGGGAGCAGTTCGAAGTCAATTTAGTAGATGTGTTTGTAAATGGTGCTAAAGGATACTAGTTAATTTCCTTAAATGCTTGCTGAGTCTTCCAAATTCAACTCGTTCCCTACTTTTTCACCAAATTTCTGAAAACTTTTTATCCACTACTCCCACATTCTTCTATGGTCCAATCAAATAGAGACATAAATAAACTGTTTCATAATCTCAAAGTCGTCTGCTCATAGTTATTCCTCTATTTATTTGCATAAACTAACTTAGAATCATAACTTCCTCTTATCATATTGTTTGTTGTTTGAGAATTTAGCATACTTAGAAGTGTATTTATTGGCTACTGTACATAACCAAGGTATGCAATATCATTGAATGTGATTACATACATATTATTACTCATTAGGTGCTATTCCACCACTTAATCTTCGTGTTTGTATTTCAATATTTTAGTATCATTTACGATACATTTGTCGTCTATGTTCAACTTTTTAGTTTTATTAATTTATAGTAAGGAATTTTATTTATTTTCCATAGGCACTTCAATTAATAATACCAAGTCCCAACAATCGATTCCCGCCCCACCACCACCACCACCGCCACCGCCTCCCCCACCTCCACCACCACCAATGGCTAATATACCTGGGTCAAAAAATTGGCATCAAAACACCACAGCAACAATAAGTAATAAACTATTAGGTTCACAGTCTGCTGCCGAGAATTCTGATACTAGTGACCATGATAGTGTCGCTGAATCTGGTAGTTTAGATGCTCAATTACGTATGGCCAGACAACAACGTATTCGTGCTGCTTCTGTTGCTGGATTAGGATCTTCTGATTTTGCATCAACTATTTCTGGCCCACGTACTCATGGTGTAGATATGATGACTGATCTTCAACGTGTTTTGGCAGCACGTCGACGTGCTAAGGAAGCTGAAGAGGTTGGTTCAATTTTAAACGGATTATTATTTAGATAATGAAAATAACCCATAGTGTCATTGAATAAGAAAAAGAGAATTCAGCGAAGAAAATTTTCTTTTCGACGAAATTATTTACTTAAGCTGTACATTCGTATATATAGTTATATGGAAAATGTATGTCTGTTGGAGGATAGAAAAAATTGCATCACCAAAATGGATTCAAGGAAAATAACAAATGGGGTTACGTACTAATCAGCCGTGTCTCCTTTAAATTCCATATTCATGAACAAGGTTTTCTTCTGTACTGTTGATACTTTCTCATGATGAATTCTAGGTGTTAAGTTACTATCGACGAATCTAGGTGGATAACCATTTCTTATGAGAGTTTGTCGAAGTTGCATTAGTTCCTCATCTATTGTGTCAGTGGAACAGATTCGCTTGATCCTAGAGGATAAAGAATGAATTGAATTCCTCTTTCTACTCAATGGGACCCAGCTATGGAAATTAGTGTACTGCCCATTCCAAGTAGGTTTTCTGTGTATAGATCGCTGTAAAAAGCCATCGGGCATTCTTTTTAATCGGACATCAAGAAAGTGAAATTCATGGTTTGCTACTGCTTCTAAAGTGAATTCAATTGAGGGGTGACAATTATTGAAACTTTTCAAAATTTCAGTTAGGTCCATGTCTTCTTCACAAATAATGAAAGTATAATCCATATATCTCTTATATAAATGAAATCTCTCAATTATTGGGCGCAGTACCGAATTTTCTAGATTACCCATGAAGCAATCAGCCAAGAAAGGACCCAATGGAGAGCCCACAACTAACGATTTTCTTCCTTACCCCTTGATTAGTACGTAACCCCATTTGTTATTTTCCTTGAATCCATTTTGGTGATGCAATTTTTTCTATCCTCCAACAGACATACATTTTCCATATAACTATATATACGAATGTACAGCTTAAGTAAATGATTTCGTCGAAAAGAAAATTTTCTTCGCTGGATTATTATTTATTAAATAGAGATTAACTGTTGAATATCAGGGGATAATGTTAACTTGTACTCCTAGGTATTATAAATTGGATTTTCACAGTTATGCTACTTTTCAGGAGGATTTTAGAAAAATATTTGATAAATTTTGATATATGCAATTTTATTTTCAATAACATCCGTTGCCTTTTAATTAAAAGCTGTAATTAATTAGTACACTTCAGTCAGACTCAATATTTAACATTTTGAATTAATATAACTCCCCTACTAGGTACAAGTTTATGTTTTAATACTAAGTTGTTGAAGTTAGTCGAGAATAAACACTAGATCTAGGTTTCCTGTTAGATATCACTCGTTAACAAGATGTACCTGAGATCTTTAAGGTCCTGATGCTCCATATGGGATTTGAACTAGCATCACAAAAACTCACAGTCGAAGAAAATATTAATGAACTGTTCTGACCACAACTAACTAACTGAAGAACTGAGATGTATTTACAATTAGTTGATCACTGATTAGGTAACCAATGTTATATCTGTCTAGTCCTTCAATGTTGTTCGAATTCTATCGATCAAGCTGTACTCAGCTTCAAGTAGCATTTTGTTGTTTTATGAAAACTAATGATACTACTGAGCTGCTTAGATCGAAGCTGTTATCTCGTTAAAATGGGAATACATTAACTGTTAGGCCACCTCTACTGTTTTATAGACCTAGGCGATATTATTCTGTTATGAAAATACGGTGTTGCATAAAATACAAATTCACGCGTACATAGTCACTTTAACAAAAGTTCACAATCACGTTTGTTTGTTAAGTGAGCTTTTTAGCCACTGATATGTTTGTGGTCTCGGACTAGAATTTCCGCATATACTACATACCAATTAATTAGATTCTTTCAGCTTACATAACTAGAGTCCCATCACAACAACAATTGTTTTTCCACTCATTAAATTGTTATTTATGTGTTGGTTAAAGCGTTAGACATTCAATCAGTGGTTCACTGATTGCCCTACCTAATTCAGTTCGATCAACCGGGTAGTGTATCACTAGCCTTCACACACGTTGAGTACACGAATCTATCCTTGCTAAGTGAATTACATCTTCATTAATGTGTCCTCATTGTATTAATATCGCCAATTAGAACATTATCCATTAAATTCAATCTTTCTATTACTATTTATTCTAGTTCCATTTTATAATAATAAAAGTCAGTCAAATCATTATATGTATATGATATTCTCAAGCCTTATTATAAATTATCCCACTTAAAAATATATTGACTTTCCTTCTACCGTCTTTTATGACCTATACTAAGAATAACAAATCAATAGATTGTCTCGTCTGAGTTTTGCTCCCATTCTGCATTGATTAATACTGTTACTGTTATAGATATTATTATTATTATTATTATTATTATTATTATTATTATTACATCAGCAAACTTAATCAGACAATTTTCATGTACATATTTATGTATGCATTTGGCTGTATGTGTATACAGACCTGTCCGGTTTTCTTTTATTGATCTGTACAGCTGCATTGATTCTCTTTCAGACTTAGTCTATCAAAAATTTTCGATTTGTTTATACTTTGTATACATTACCACACTTGTCATACGGTATATCCCAGGGACAAAGTGGGATTTTTATATGATTTGGTGTGTCCATGTCGGTAGGACTATATATATATATATATATATATATATATATATATATATATATATATATATATATATATATATATATATACTCACTTTTTAGTAGTTATTCTCCCTTACCTCTCTGTGTATCAATAATGCGATTACCCATTTTGTTTCTTTCTGTGAGAGCCTAGAAATGTAAGTATTCACTTACCTATCTTCAAAAAAAAACCAACTTTAAAGGAATTATATGGCGACAAGTCTCATGTCAATACATTTCTGATTTAAAACATTTTAACTCTGCCTTGCTTTAGTATATTTGCAACATAACATTTGTCGAATTCTAGACATCTATTACCATTTTATTTGAGACTTATCAGCTAGCTGTCCCTGTAAGCTAATGTTGATGTTCACATCGAGGCTTGAATCTAATATCCATCATTTGGAACATCAACACATTGTTAAGTTAATCTACTGTGTTGAGATAACTACTGAAACCTGTGGCTAAAATATAGCAGTGAGATAATCCACACAGGAAGCACGTTTATGGTCAATGGCATAATTGGGAAATAAAAGTTATTTTGTAACTATTGTCAAATGTTTTTAGAAGACAAACGGTTTTATAGTATCTATGCATATGTCCATCAATATTAACTGAAATCGATTTCACAAATGTATTTTATTTATTTATTTATTTATTTATTTATTTATTTAAACATATTAACATTGGTACAAGGAGGCACAAAATATATATGTGCCACACAAATCACTCGATTTGTGTGAGGGCCAAAATACTTCCCGGACGCCTTAACAGAAGTAGGTGGTTTTTTAAGGGGCCCATCCGAAAGCCTTTACCCAAAGTTCTGATTCACAAGTCAGTAGAGCAGCGTTAGGAGATTCATCCTCATGGTAACCGGTGACCAACAATAGACTTATACGTCATTTATTCCCTCAGCATCCCGGAGTCCGTGTGCATCATTGGTTTGGGATCAGAGTTCTCCAGCTCTCTTAGGTAGGTCTTCCGTACACACCAACCCGTTTATCCGGATATCCGCTTTTCGTCCCCTCAATTTTGTAAACAACAGCCCCGTCACGTGAAGTCAGTGAATGGGACTTTCTTGGCGGTGGCGCTATGCACATGTCAATGCGAGAGCATTTTAAGAGGGAGAGCGGACTCTCCCTACTCTTGACCATACCATAACCCTCAAATACCCTGGTATGGCCGAGAGAGGGGTAGGCTCTCCCTCCCTCTCGAAATACTCTCACACGGCCACGCGTATTACAGCCTCTGCCAGGGAAGTCCTATTCACTGCCTTCTCGCGGCATTACTGTTGTTTACGAAAATGAGAGGACGAAAAGCGAATTTCCGGCGCTTTAACCGGATCCCAAATCAATGGTGCACATGGGCTCCAGTATCCTGCGGGAACGAATGGCATATGAACCAATCATTGGGCACCGGCTACCATAGGACTGCACTTCCCTACGATGGTCCACTGCATTGTGGATCAGACCTTTAAGTCGAAGGCTCGGGCTGTGACCCCCTAAGAAAACCACCTGCTTCGGTCTTGGTACCCATGCAGTATCACAGCCCACACGCACAAAAACGAAATGATGAACTGTCTATTTATGGAAAATATTCTTGCTCCGAATAACAATCAAATGACTCACATTATTATTATTACTATTATTGTTATTATTATTATTATTTACTACGTCATTTATTACCACCACTGAATTAACCACTTCTATGAATCCGGTGTTCATCTTGTTGTGCTAATGCGGTATGGCAACTTGGACCGATGCATATATGTGCCTGGTCCTACGTTGCAGCTGACTGACTGACTCTGTGTATACTTATTTCTCGACTTATACAGCAGCTCGCCTATGGTGGAAATTCGGTTCTATCTAAACGTTCTCGAGTCATTGCCTGGTTGAAAATTGTATGGTACCACCGAATACGAGTACTGAAGCAGTTTTTCTGAAACCACTTGCACCATTCAAACTGGCTGCCTTTAACGTCCGCACACTCATGCAGGTCGGACAACAGATAGGGCTGGCTATGTCTTTGGAAAGTCTTAATATTGACGTGTGTTGTCTATCCGAGACCCGTATTCAAAACTGTGGTGAAGTACTACAAATTCGCTCTCCATCTGTCGCTTCAAAAAGCTTGTTTTACGTGCGTTTATCCGGGGACCCTGTGGCATCTTCGTCTGATCTTGCTGGCGTTGGTGTCTCACTAAGCGCTAGAGCTGAGGCAGCACTAACCGACTGGATCTCCATTAACAGTCGGTTATGTGCTGTAAGATTAGAAAGTTCTATCAAAGTGAGAAGAAATCGGCGTGAGAAACGATGTCTTTTCGTCATTTCCGCCTATGCCCCGACAGATTGCAG